TTACTTTTGAATCAGTTACATTACTCTCTGTTACTTTGGGACTTCTAACTGTTCAATTACCACTGTTGTTCACTTTGGCCTAGTTATAATGACTTCAGCATGAATGTCCTTTTATGTTGAGCATTAAGATTCAGACAGCTGTACCAAATTTCCTATCTATGGCATAAACCCAAGTGAGATGAAGTGCAAGTTCCAAGATGCTGGTCTTACCTGGGGAAGGACTATGGGAAGTTGAAGTATTTCTGGTGTGTGTGTGTGTGTGTGTGTGTGTGTGTGTGTGTGTGTGTGTGAGGCTGTCGGAGGCTGTCGGAGGTCAGAGGGAAAAACACATTTTTTTTAATTAATCTTGCTACTCTTTCAATTTTTTAAATAGTATTTGATGTATACAATTTTCTTTATTATTGATGTGTGTGTGTGTTTGTAGATATATATCTGTCATGGTGCATATATGGCGGTCAGAAGACATCTTTTGAGAGTTGATTCTCTTCTTGCACCTTGGTTTGAAGCAGGATTCTTTTGTTCCTGCTTTACTGTGAAGTCCAGGCTGGCTGACCCATTAGCTTCCAGGCAGTTCTCTGGGAACTGTGTGTGTGAGATCAGTTCTCCTGGAAGTGTGTTCATATACCTACTCAATACAGAGTGCTGGGATTGCAGGCGCAGGCCAACAGATCTGGCTTTTCACTTGGGTTCCTGATGTCAAACTCAGGTCATCAAGCTTGGATTCACGCACTTTAACTTGCTGAGTCATCTCTCCAGACCATTGTATTTTCTTGTTAGCACTTACTACTAACTGAAAAGACTGTATGTTTACTATTTTATTGTCTGACTGTCCTACTAAAAGGGATTCCACGAACTTCAGGACCCTGAAAGATGCCTAGTAAATAATAATCAGTAAATATTTGTTGAATGAATGCATATACATATATATGTATACACATCCATTCCATTGTTTTTCTAGAAATAGAATGGCTCCATAGCTTGTTTTTCTTTCCACTTTAATATGTTGGGAGTATCTTTCTGGGTCCTACGCAATCTAGTTCATTCTTTTTGACAGCTGTACAGTAATCTGTACCCCTGCCACTATGTGTCACTGGTTGTCCCACAACCAGTTATTACAGTTTCTCTTGTTTTCCATCTTTACTAGGCTTGTGCATATACATCTGTGTAGTTTTGTTTCTTTCATATTCTTGACAAAAATAATTGCCCCATTAGGGGCTGGGGAAACAGCCCGGTTGATTAAGCGTGGACCTGAGTTTGGATTCATAGTATGCACATAAAAAGCCATGTGCAAAGACTAGCACTTAGAATGCCAGTGCTGGGGAGCAGAGATGGGAGGGTCCCTAGGGCCTGCTGGCCAGCCAGTCTAGCAGAATTATACACCTGTCTTGAAAATATAAGGTGGAGAGTGATTGTGGAATATACCTATGTTACCTCTGGGTTCCACATGCATCCCACACACATACTTACAAACATGTGCACACACGTGAACACGTTAACACACATACATAATTATTACCTGATATTTTGTGGTGTTGAGACAGGTTTTCACAATGTTGTCTAAGTTGGTCTCTGTGGCAATCCTGCCTCAGCTTCTTAAGTGCTGGAATCACAGGCATGAGCCCCTTACAACACTGTTACTTTTCAGGAGTTTCTACTAATTTATCTTTAACCAGTAGTGTCTTAAGGGGGCTGGAGAGATGGCTCAGTGATTAAGAGCACTGTTTGCTCTTCCAGAGGACCCAGGTTCAATTCCCAGCACCCTCATGTCAGCTCACAACTGTCTATAACTCCAGCTTCTGGGGATTTGATACCCTCACCAGACATACATGCAGGCAAAACACCAATGAACATAAAAATAGTGTGTGTTGTGTATGCTCACACACGTGCACATGGAGTGCCAGAGGAGGACGTCGGGTGCCCTGTTACTCTTTGCCTTATTCCCTTGAGACAGGGTCTCTCACTGAACCTGTTGCTAGCCTGGCATCCAGCAAGCCCCGGTAATCCTTCTGTCTCTGCCCTGCACAGCACTGGGGTTACAGATGTTGTTTCTAGCCTGCTTTCTCTGTGAGTGCTAAGAGTCAAACTCGGGTCCTCATGCTTGAGCAGCAGACGCTCTTACCCACTAAGCCATCTCCCCACCCCAAAGATAGAAATATTACTACTTAGATTGTTGCTTAATTTTTATTTATGATGTCCTTAAAACAAACAAAAACATTTGTTTTTGTGTGTATGAATCTGTGTGCGTGTGTGTGTGTTCATTGTGGGACACATGGAAGTCGGTACAACTTTCAGGAGTCACTTCTCCCTCCACTCTATGGCACTGGAGATTGAATTCCTGTGGGCAGGCTTGACAGCAAATGCCTTTACCTGCTGAGCCACCTCACCAACTGTCATGACGTCTTTTACAGAAGTTTTCAAATGTCTGCTGTGAGAGTGTTCAGTTTCCTTTGAAATACTAATTGCTGGTCTTGCTTAGGGATACATCTTACGCCTCAAGCATAACCAAAAATTGATTCTCTCTCTTTGCTACTGGGGATTGAACTTGGGGCTTGTGTGTACTAAGCAAGTGCTATACCAATGTACTATAGCTTCTTTTTTATTTTAATTACTTTGCACTTTTACTTTTTTCCATTTCAATTTCTGTTCTTGGGTATTTGTGTACATGTGACGAGGGAAAGCCCTGTTTTCCCTAGCCAGTCGGCCAGCCTGCCAGTTTTCCCCACCCCTTTACTAATGCTGTGTACTGAGTCTTGTGTGTGCTGTCACACTGCTCTTAGGCATTGCCGATATGAATGGTGGCTAATTCAGGGCGGTGCAGTCATTTCTGACTGTAATTTCTGCTTGCTAGACTCTTGTGCGCTGTCTTGAACGTAATTGACTGCTTGCTTCTTGGTTCCTTCCCCTGGATTTGTCACAGTGAACTGTGGGTTCTCCTTGGTACCCCCAAACAGTCGTGTGGGTCTCTTGTGGGCCACCTCACTGTTTCAGCATTGGTCTTCCTTTCTGCTGCCCTCCCGTGAATCTCCTTGTGTCCTCCCACTCACACTTGGATCTTGACTGCTCTCTGTGTGCTGGGGACTTGAGGGCTCTCCTTGCTCTTCTGCAGTCTCCTTTGAACTTCAGGCTTTTGCCTGATGTCTAGCTTGTCCAAAGTGGAACTCTGGTGTTTGAGATAGGCTTCTCCTGCTTTCCTCTATATGAGTCACCCCAGCCATAGCCAAGTCCCCTTTCTCCATCAGTCTTTGTTCAGACACCCAGGGCTGCTGCTTTTATCCTCTAAGTTTTTCTGGGATCTAGCCCATCTCTCTGTTTCCTCAGTGCTCTCCTCTTCAGAGCGGTAGTACGTCTCTTCTTGCATAAATGGCCTCCTGGTTTCTAATCCTAACTCTTCAGTCCCTCCTTTCCAGCTGTTTGCTGACTCTGACAGCCTAGCCATGCAGTTCCTCCAGCGATTGCTCATCCTCTTCAAGACAAAGAACAGGAGGTGAGATGTTCATTTTATACAGTATTGAAGTGCTTCTCTTCCTATACCCACCCCCAGGGAAACACATGTACACACGAGCATTGCCTGTTGTTCTTAGACATCTCTTGACCTTTCAACATTGTGACTGATGGCCCTTTGTTTTGCTTCTAAGAACCCTCTGAATTCCTGTGTCTGAGGGAGAGTAGCATTGTTCCTTGGCCATTCTGTTTCTTAGTCTTCTCACTGGTGCAGCCTGCCTATTCCTGCTGTCTATCGCATGCTTTTCCTCCTGACTCTTTATCCAGGCATAATAACACATGAGCACTTCTGCCTGTGGAGAAGCCAGGACAGAAAAGGGACTTTGCATCATCTACTCAGTTCGTGTGCAGGAAGCTGAGGATCTGTGAGACTGACAGCTGCAGGGGTCATGGGCTAAGTTGGAAATAAGGTTTGGCTCTAGATCATGGCCAGTTCCACTCTACCTGTCTCTGCCTTATTCCTCCTGTGAGGAGCCTTAGGCCAGGCAGATGCAACAGTGCGCAGCCCAGGTGGACATGCCAACATGGAGCTGCCACTTTGTACATCTTGTTTTATATAGTCACCCGCTCTCCCAAAGTTTAAGAAGTACACAAATCCTTTTCTCTCTCTCTCTCTCTCTCTCTCTCTCTCTCTCTGTGTGTGTGTGTGTGTGTGTGTGTGTGTGTGTGTGTACATCATGGTGTGCCTGTAGGAGTCAGAAGACAATCTGTGGGACTCAGTTCTCCCCTCCAGCTTGTGATTCCCAGTTGTCAACCTTGGTGTTAAGTGCCCTTACCCGCTCAGCCTCTCACTGGCCCCACCTGATTTTTTGAGACAGTCTTTCACTGAATGCAGAGCTCACTGCTTGGCTAAGCTGTCTAGCCAGTGAGCTATGGGCTTCTGCCTGTCTTGGCCACAGTGATGGGGTTACAGACATGTGCTGCCATGCCTGGGTGCTGGGCATCCAAACTCCAGACTTTGTATTTGCCCAGCAGGCACTTTACCAGCTAAGCCATCTCCAAAGGCCGTTTTTTTTTTTTTTAATGCTGCCACTGGGTACTGGATCAGTACTCTCAGGCCTTTCCTTGTGGGCTCATGGCCCTGAAGCTCAGGGTCAAGGCTCTTGTGTCCTGAGGTGGTAACCAGGACTTTGAATCTCTATGCCTTCCCTTCAGGAAAAGGCTGAGGAGGTGTATCGCCTATACCAGAACTCACCCCTCTCCTCCCATCCTGTGGTGGCCCTGTCAGAGCTGAGCACTCTGTGTGCCAATTCCTGCCCAGACGAGAGGACCTTCTATCTGGTGCTGCTGCAGCTGCAGAAGGAGAAGAGAGTCACGGTCTTGGAACAGAATGGAGAGAAGGTGTGGAAGCATGCATGCCTCTTTGTAGGTGTGTGCCTGCACGCATGCATGTGCATGTTTGTGTGTGCATGGACTCACAGGGACTTAATCTGCTCTCCTATGCCCACCCCAGGCCTGGTTGTGAATTTCTCAGCTTGTGTGGTAGAGACAGTAGTAATTTGTCCCTTCCCCCCAGATTGTGAAGTTTGCCAGGGGGCCACATGCCAAAGTGTCTCCTGTGAACGATGTGGATGTTGGGGTCTACCAGCTGATGCAGAGCGAACAGCTTCTCTCTCGAAAGGTTGAGTCTTTATCCCAAGAATCTGAAAGGTAATCTCCTTCTTACCTGGCTGCCCTGGAGCCCCAGCATGAGTGGGTCTCTTCAAAAGACAAAAAACAAAAAATGCTTGGACTATATCGCCATTTGTAGAGTGCTTATCTAGATGCATGAAGTCATGGGTTTGTCCCCAGATCTGCAAAAAAAGCTATGTATTAATTACACACGCACTAGGTACTCCATGTGGAAAACAGAAAATAAAGGAGAAAAATGGCCTCTTGTCCCTCCCGTGATAACAGCTGCTAACATCTTATTTATATTCTTCTGAAGCCTGGTGTTGTCCACAGGTGGGGAGACAGTAAGGTGGGTCCACGCCTTCACAGGGCCTTTTTAAGGATCTCTTGCTCCTTCCTTGGGGTGCTTCTCCAAGAATCCACTTCCCTGAATGGAAAACTAGCACACTGAATTAGAGTTCTTCGCTCCATCTCTCAGAGAAATAGAGGCGCGTTGGGAGACTCAGAGACATGGCCAAGGTCTTCAGTGTGAAGGGATCAATCCCATGTCTTAGAGTGGAAAGATGTGTATAATTCTCTCACCTTCAGGACAAGATCACCTTGCCTTGACATATACAGATGCTCAAGCCTCTGTTGAGACCCACTTCCAGAAACTGGCAGTGGGTAGCTGGCTCTCACTGTGGCTGTGGGCTTTAGGGAATTACTGACCTCAATCTGAAGCTACTTTCACTAAGTGCTCTCAAGCATACTTGGAGACCCTGCCACTGTACAGTCTTCTCCATCTGTCCTTCATTCCTCAGGTGCAAAGAGGAAGCCCGCCGGGCATGCCGAGCTGGAAAGAAGCAGTTGGTACGTTCTCTTCCCCTGCAGCCTAGAAGTGACATCCACAATTGTCAGATACAGGGGCCCAGCAGTTCAGAGAGCAGCCTGATTGGGGTTCAGGGTGCAGCATCTGCAGGTTCTCAGAAACCACAGCTTAATTTATAGGGAGAAGGCTGGGGGGATGCTCTCATGGTTTGAGCAGGGCTGTCTTGCTTATGCCCTGTGGCCTACCATGTCCTACTCTGATCTGTTTCCATACCCGCCAGGCACTGAGGTCTCTCAAGGCCAAGCAGAGGACAGAGAAACGCATTGAGGCCCTGCACGCCAAGCTGGACACTGTTCAAGGCATCCTGGATCGCATCTATGCCTCCCAGACAGACCAGATGGTAGCCACGCCCCTCCGTGCCCTGTGGTCCCAGGCTCCCACACTGCATCTCCCTCCCTTGTGGCCTACTGTTTAAATGAGTCCTGAGTTCCTCCAGGGTGTGGCTGGGTTCCCTTTCCTATTGGGAAGTTTAGCTTCTCGGTATAAAGTGAATTCATTGGCCTTGGGTGGCCAAAGAAAGCCTGAAGTTAGCTTTGGAGACGGAATATGGTTGTCTATATTTTGGCAAGTGTTGCACAGGTAACTTGATTTTCCCTTTAGGTTTTTAATGCATACCAAGCTGGTGTGGGAGCCTTGAAACTCTCCATGAAGGATGTCACGGTGGAGAAGGCAGAGAGTCTTGTGGATCAGATCCAGGAGGTACAGGGGCCTGGGAGAGTCCTTGTGCCTGAGAGGAACTGTTCCTTGATTGTCAGGTCTCTGTAACCCTGAACATTTCCCTTAAAGGCTCCGAGCTGCCCATAACCAGCATTGCCTCGGGCCAGCATTCCCTTCAGAGCTTTGTGTTTGTCTCTTACAGCTGTGTGACACGCAGGATGAAGTTTCTCATACTCTGGCTGGTGGGGTAACCAATGGTTTAGGTGAGTTGGTAAGGACACTCTCCCCTCCTTTCTGAGAGACCTCACTTCTTGGGCCAGAACAGGTCTGATCATGAGCTTGGTCTTCTCTGGGGCTCACCTGCAGTGGTGGTTGGTGGGAGTTAAGGTGGCCTCTCAGACAGCTGTTCTGAGGGTCTTCTGTACTCCAGCGTCCATATTGGCAGAGTGTCTGACTGGTAGTCCTTTCCCAGGGCAAAGGGAAGCAGGTCCAGGTTCCTGGTTCAGTGAACTATACCCATCTGACAGTCCAGCTCTCCCGAAAAAGAAAGAATATCTGCCCGAGGAACCCTTTGCCTCATGAGTCATGTGACTGCAACCTGCAGAGGGCCTGCTGGGCTGTGAAGCTGAGCTGTGCTGGGCACATCGGTCCATCCCTTTCTTTCCTGGGATTGACATGGCATCTCTCTCCTAGATTTTGACAGTGAGGAACTGGAGAAGGAGTTGGACATCCTCCTTCAGGACACCACCAAAGAACCTTTGGACCTGCCTGACAACCCCCATGAGACGCTTTATACCAACAGTGTGCCTAAGCCTAGGATCTTGGATGCTGAACTTGAAGCTGAACTTGAGAAACTGTCCTTATCAGAAGGAGGTACGGAGTAGCTTCCCATAGATCCTGGACATGTGACTCTGGCTAACAGAGGAGCCAGGCACAGAACAGATAGGTTCCAAAGCCCTGCTAGGGGGGAATGGTTATGTACATGGAGATCCAGTTACTTAAACTTTGGGACGCTTTGGTCATAGGCCTTCCTATTGAATATTGTCATTTCTTTTCACAGGTTTGGTCCCAAGCAGTAAGTCTCCAAAAAGGCAATTGGAACCGACTCTCTAAAGCCATTGCAGGAACTCAAGTGAAGGACCCTCCTGTCACAGAGGGACAGCCTTGTGTGTGTACATAGTTATTTAATGAGAAACACTGAGAAGTTGTTGAAAGAGGAGGAAAGAACCACTTGGATCTCTCTGGAGGGTGCCGCTCCTGACAGGACAGGTACAGCTCCTGGAAGCCACGCTGTGAGGGTGTGCTCCGAACTGATGCCATGGACCTACCTTCTCGTCTCTATAGTGCCACAATTTATACAGTTCTGTGTGTGACCGTCGTCTGCTAGCCTGCAGTTCTTGCCATTGGCTCCGTTAGGTTTGTCTTCACCCACCAGCTTCGTTGCAGCCAGTGAAGGTGAAAGGTTTGCAGCTTTGCCCATCAAAGCCAGCCCTGTCTTCCACTCCTAAGGTTTTTAAAACAAAGTTTGTTATCTGCACTGCCAGTTAAACCGCTCCCCTGCCCTCTGCTTTATTGGAATTAAGAATGAGAGTCAAACAAGTTTTACTCAGAGAGACCTAACAGCTGAGTGTCTGGAGAAACATTGTCCACAAGATGTTTCTCTACCTGTTATGTCAAATTCTCTGAATGGTTCAAGGTCATGGCAGTTGCAGGGGTGGCTTTTGTCATTGAGCGCCACAACCTCTTCCATCTTAGGCAGAAGCAGATCTGCTGATGGGGGTGGGGAAGGGGTTAATCTGTCTTTTGAACCTGAGCAGGAGAAACCTGAGTCAACTACAGGCTCCACGGTGTAAAAAAAGCTAAGTTTTTGCTTTGGCCCCATCATAAATTATGTGTGTTTTCTGGAGCCAGCCACATGGTGCCACAGTCCCTGTTTCTCGAGCCTGACACTCACTGTTAGGATCTGGAAAGCATCTCACCATGTATCCACCACTCAGGGCAGGGGCCTGAGCCAAGATGTGCAATAGGAGGAGGTGGCCCTGGCCTGCTGCATCTGTGTGTGCTGCCCCCTGCTCTGCCCTGCACCTGCCTTCCGCAGGTGTATCCTCTTTCCATGAACTGTGGGGCAGGCAGGAGAGGGTAGGTAGGTCTGAATGTTCAGGTGGCCGCGTGGAGAGGAAAAATGACAGCCACACTGCCAGTCTGCCGTCCAGAGCCATGTCTGCCTGGATCTCTTTGCACTGCCCCTCCTGCTTGTGGTGGCACAGAGCAGAGGGGAGGACTTTGCTTCTGACCAGGAGCACGAATCACTGTTCAACGAGTCTCTCCCTCCCGCTCAGCTTTGGCAAACAGAAATATTGGGGGTGAAGAAAAACAATCACTATTTTTTCTTTTTTAATCTGGTAAATAATTATTAAAAGAGAAAACCCAGGCTCTGTTGTTGTCTGTTCTTTAGGTTGTGTCGTTTTTTTTTAAAAATAGGTCTCATGTAGCTGAGTTTTTATCCTCTGGCATCCCCTAAGAGCTGGGACCACAGCTGTGTAGCCGTACACACCAGATTATGTCACTGTGTTTATGCTTGTTCCTTCCTGTCTCTCAGAGTCACACACATATCTACACTTAGGCGCTGTTCATCTGGGGCCTCTGGAAAATGTGGAGTAGCTGAATAACAGGCCCTGGGCTGCAGGGAATCCTGCCTGCCTGCGTGAACTCTCCTTCCAGCTCTGAACTGTATACTGCACTGTCTCCCAGGTTCTGTTCTCCACACTGAGAACGACCCTGCTCTTGTGATGGCTCCACACTAGTCCAGCGCCTCTGGTTCTTGGCCTGTGCTGTGCATGCTGTCCGCTGTGCCTGTGGAGGAAGGAGGCTTTGAGGCTGAATGCAGTCTGCAACAGGCCAGGTTTGCTTCACACTGGGTCTGCAGCTCCAGCTGCATGGGCAGGCGAGCCAGCCAGGAAAAGGTGTAAGGAGCATCAGCCCAGGAGGCCTCGGGACCAGTTGGGAACTGTTTGTTGTGTGAAACTGTCTCAGGAGAACCTGCAACCCCACGGTGGGTCTAGACGGTTGGCTGTGAAGGACAAGGGGTGCAGAGAGGAGGGTGGAGCAGATGGAACTGCTGGAAGGGCCTGCATTTGAGGAGCCCGTTACCTGGTTTTGTGTTGCTATCTGAGCGACTAAGCAGCCCTCACCCAGCTCCTCCATGGGAAGGCAAGAGCACTAAGACAGTTTATCTCCACTGTACTCAGAGTGCGCTGCCTCTCCTCATTCTCTCTTTTATTAAAACCCAGCTCCTGGGCTGTGGCACCTACCCACACTGTGCCTGGGAGACCACTTCCAACATCCAGTGGACTTCGTCCTCAGTCTGGCCGTCTTCAGCTTAGCAAGGCTTTTGTCTCCTTCCTGGACCGTAGTAGAAATAACCAACTTCAGCCAGAGTGTCCCACTGCAGGGACAGACTATCCAAAGAGGAACCTTGGCCCTCACCTTCACTCTAGCATGGTGAAACTAGAGTGAGACAAGTTACTAGTTGTGTGGCACTGACCAGTTAGTCTTCGTGTACTTTAGCCTTGTAACTGTGTGAGTGGGTATGTACGCGAGTGTGGGTGCCCATTGAGGCCAGAAACATTTGACCCCCTGAAACTGGAGTTACAGCTAGTTGGGAAGCCACCTGACATGGGTACTGGGAACTGAACTCAGGTCCTCTGCGAGAGCAATACACACTTCTAACTGCTGAGCCATCTCTCAGCTCCTACTTTAGTTTCTACATCTGCAGGGTAGATGTCTAAAACACCAACCACCGCCTAGCATTGTGTCCAGTAGATGAGCTGAATGAAGCAGGGTACAGGGAGTCAGGTATTGGGGAAAGGAATTCAGTAGGTGAGCTCGCACAGTCTGTGACTGGCCTCACATGGTAGATCCTCCTACCTACCTCCTAAGTGTTGGAATGACACGCAAGTAACACCACACACTGTTTACTCTGGTCCTTTAAGAAGATCTAGAACTCAGGCCTGGCTGGGGCAGTGGTCTCCTAGAAACTGAGGGACAACAGAAAAACCGTCTGGGATTTTGATGATACCCACAGAGGATAGTCAGGTAGAATGGGGAAGGGTGGACTCTTCATTGGCTTCTCCCTTTGGCCCCTCTGTCTTTCCCAGCCCTTCCTTTCCTGCTTTTACTCTTTCCCTACAGTCTTCCCGATCTCTGCTGTTGTATTCCGAATGTGAAGTGACCCCCACATACACATGCGCATGCGTTCTCACACACGCACAGGTTCCTGTGTTTAAACACTTGGTGCCCAGCTGACAGTGCTGGTTTGATAGACTGTGTAGCCTATAAGAGTTGGAGTCGTCCTGGAGGAAATGGGTCTTTAAGGGTGGACTTTGTGGTTGTTTTAGCCCAGCCACTTCCTGTTTTCTGTTTGCTATCCAACTGTGACCAGCTTCCCACACTTCTGCCACCATGCCTTCTGTGCCATGACAAACATGTCCCTTCTTAAAGCACAAACCCTTCCTCCCTAAGCTTTGTGCTGATCCACAGAGGCACTCAACACAGCAAAGGGAAAATAGTAAATAATCTGCTTTGCCACACCCCAGTCCCATTTCTGGGGGACATCTCTTGCTTACAAGTATTCATAACTGATTTTCTTGGATTTGGAGGTTTAAAAAGTATTCTACAATCAATAATGATTTTAAGACTGATTTTGTGTATGTGTGTGTGTACATGCCACAGTCCACAGGTAGGGAGGAGAAGATAGTTTGGGGTACTTCTTTCCTTCGGTGGTGTGAGTCCCAGTGATCAAACTGGGGTTGTCAAACTTGGCAGCAAACACCTTTACCCACTCAGCCACCTCTTGAGACTTCAGCGATAATTTAGTTTCACACACACACTCTCTCACACACACGAACACTATGCACACATACCACTTCGTAGCCCTTCCACACACACCCCACAAATATATCATACAGACACTGCAAAACCCCTGGACGAACAGGTAGGTACACACACCACACAATTTTGATCTTATCAAAATTTTCAAGCTGTTTCTATTCCCATTTTGTGTGTGTGTGTGTGCGCACGTGTGCACGCATGCACGCGCGCGAACCTACGGAGAACAAAGGTGAAACAAGTTCTTCTACAATCACTCTACTTTTTTTTTTATTAAAGATTTATTCAAAGTCAGGTGGTGGTGGCACCTTTAATCCCAGCACTTGAGGCAGAGGCGGGCATATCTCAGTGAGTTCAAGGCCAGCATGGTCTACAGAGTGAGTTCCAGGATAGGTAGGGATACACAGAAAGACCCTGTCTCAAAAAAATTTTTTTCATTATTCATTTTGTTATATGCCTAAATGTTTTGTCAACATGACTGTCTGTACACCACATTCACACCAAATTTTCCAGGAGGTCAGAAGAGAGTGTTAAGTCCCCTGAAACTGGAGCTATGGATGATTTTGAGCTGACATGTGGGTGCTGGGCACAGAATCTAAGCCCGTGTTCTTAACTGCTGAGCCATCTCTCCAGGAATAAAACATTTTCAAGCTATAGCACCAAGTCACAAGTATACCCACCAAGGAGGCCATCATTAAATTCTTATCAATGAATTGAAAAATGAGAATGAATACTAATTTATGGATGGAAAAGGAGAAGTAGAGAAAGCACCAGGCCAGGAGGAGGGAAGTCTGCTTTTATCACGGTGACCAGTTGTTGACTCTATCCTTGAATAAATTGACTAGGCCATTAGAGAAAAAACTTGCAGCTCTTTGTGGATTTTACTAAAAGGCGTGGGAGATGAGCTGGGCATGGCAGGTGAAAGGTGTCTCCCAGCTACACGCCTTGTCCCCTCCACGTGAGGCCAAGAGGGAAGGCTCAACTTGTTTCCATGCGGCTGCAGATCTGAGACTGCCTACTGACACCACAGCTTCTAGAACTTTCTGGTGTTAACATTTATTTCCTTTAAAATTCCATGGACATTATTTCTCTGTCGCCTGGCTTATGAATTGCTAGAGAAATGTACGTGGCACTCCATTTCCCCCTCTTTGGTTTCTACCTAAAGCACTAAACACAGACACAGACACTCTCTGTCTCTCTCTGTCTCTCTCTCTCTGTCTGTCTCTCTGTCTCTGTCTCTCTCTCTCACACACACACGTGATTTTACAATCAGAGGAAACTTAACATGATTACTTTATTTTTAGTTATGTGTACATGTGTATGTGTACACGTGTGGGACAGGTGCCTATGAAGCTCAGTGATCCCTGGAACTGAAGTCACAGGTAGCTGTGAGAAGCCTACTGTGAGTGCTGGGATCTGAAGTAAGGTTCTCTAGAAGGGCTCTTAACCACTGACCCATCTCTCCCAATCCCAAAGTGCTATGATTTCTTTAAAGATTGGCAGAAAGGAATCACATCATACGGCAGGGCTCACATAGGAGGTTTATTGGAAGAAGAGAGAGGATGGACGGGGTGGGGGGCAGAGACTGGTTCCTAGTAACAAGAGTGACAGAAGAGAAAGAAAGGAAGGAAGGAAGGAAGGGAGGAAGGAAGGAAGGGAAAGAAAGAAAGAAAGAAAGAAAGAAAGAAAGAAAGAAAGAAAGAAAGAGAAAGAAAGAAAGGAAGGAAGGAAGGAAGGAAGGAAGAAAGAAGGGGAAGGAGGAGGGAGAGAGATGGAAAAGAGGGAGATGGGCAAGCCCCACCTTTTAGAAGGGTCATAGTGAATGTGCACAAGAAGTGCTCTTAGTGGCTGCAGCTGAGGACATATCCTGTCAGAACCCGAAGGGCAGGCCAGTACAGATGCCTGAATACTAACACAAAGGAAATTTATTTGTTTATCATAATCAGCATCAGCCATTTGTTTACTTGTTTTCTGTAACATCATTTGATGTTGGTGTTATATGAGCTTTGGCTGTATGTTTTGTGAGCCTACTGTTTGGTGCTTTCAGTTTTAGAACTTCTTGGTGAATTGACTTTTACTCTTTATACATAATATGTATAATTCCTCTGCGTCACAGGAAGGTCCCGGACCTTATTCCTACCTTCTCCTTCTCTGACACCCCTCCAGTAGGGGACCAAGGAGCAGAGTGCAACCCCATGTAGCTTGGATTTGATCTTTAATCTTTCAACCATTCCTCCTATTTTGGGTAAAATACCATTCTCTCTCTCTCTCTCTCTCTCTCTCTCTCTCTCTCTCTCTCTCTGTCTCTCTCTGACCAGATTCACCTAATTTTATCAAACTTTTGGTTTCTGTGCCTGACTCTTGGTTATTGTATCAATACTCTAAAGACGTTGATTCTTTTTTCTTGGAGACAGGGTTGCTACATTTAGCCTTGGCTGTCCCGGAATTTGTAAATCCAGTTCTCTCTGCCCCCGAGGGCTAGAATTAAAGGTATGTGCCACCGCTGACTGGCTAAGGTGTGAAATCTTAATGATAGTATATCTA